CTTCAAATCCAGTAATTTCAGTAGGAATCTGCATGATCTGTAACTTCACATAAAGTGACTTCTGTATGAGCAATACTTGGTACGTAGCCTACATCACTACACTACTGACAGTGGAAAATGGATTTGAATATTTGTTGTTGTTTCACTCAAATTACGGAGGTAAATTGTTGCATCCATGTTTAAACACCATGTTTAACCAGAAACGTAGACTGCCATTGTACGTGCATTACTGTAATCAAATTTGTTGTTTTGCAGTTTTGCTTGTCCTTACGAACTCTGCGATGGGTCGTAATGCTTTTCTGTGGTAACTGACAGTAGGGCCACAGATGCTATCGATAGAGATAAACCTGCTCAGAGGACTTAACTGTAATAGAATACATTGTTGTTTGTTCAGAAATAGGTATTGATCAAAATCAGTGTGGAAAGTAGAAGTTTTTAGCAGAAGTGTGCCATCGCTGTGGTGTCGGCAAAATGGACTATAATAGACCTCAGACCACACATTGTCATTATAGTATCTTGTATCCTGATTAAGATTGAGTATTGAATGTCTCCGATTTGATTACCTTCCTCAGATGTTGAGGGCATACATAATTATCATTGATTTAACATGCATCTGTCAGTATCGTATGCGTGGTATTTTAAAACAATAACTTAAAGACATCATACATTGCGTGGAAGATAATAAACTGCCATGAACTGTTTAAGAAGTGAGCAGCAGATTCAGAACAATAGTGAGGCACAGGAAGTGTCTCCAACCACACACCTTTGCACAGCACATCACTCAGCAGTGGTTGCCATGGAGATGACAGTCAAAAGCGAACCAATTAGCTGCATGCTTTGCTAAAAACGCAACCCGTGTCAATGACAAACGAAAAAAGAAAGCTTTGTCTTATCTGCTCCAGCCACAATCCAAACAATCATATCATTCACACTTTGAAATCACACTAAAATGATCCTTCTTACAGAGACTGGTTTCTCATTCTTTTGAGGATTTGTGTGATACGTCTTCAACAGAGGCATGAGATTATCACTAAAATCTAGTTTTAAAAATCACTGAAAAACCCACACTGACTGACCACTAATCAGAATGTCTGTAGTCTATGCTCGTTGCTGTCCATTAATTAGCAGCATCAATAATCAAAATACAGATGATGCTTTATTACAGTACGCAATGAACAATAAACCTCTAGTGGTTATGACACTATATCAACACAAAACTTCAGTCTTATTTCTCTCTAAACATATACACTAAAAAAACCCATGTGCAGTGTGAAAAGATAGAAAGGAAAGCATATCTCCATATAGCCCTGGATTAACTTCTTTTTTTTTTAATGCATATTTCAACTCCGGGTGAAGTAATATTTCACATTATCATTTTGAAAGAAGTGCTAAAGGTATTCAACCCTGTTGAAAAAAACAGCATATGCTGGTTAGGTATGTTTTGACGCTGGGATGCTGGTTTAAGCTGGTCCTTTGCTGGTTTATGCTGGTCATGTGCTGGTTTAAACTGGTCCTTTGCTGGTTTATGCTGGTTTATGCTGGTCATGTGCTGGTTTAAACTGGTCCTTTGCTGGTTTATGCTGGTTTATGCTGGTCATGTGCTGGTTTAAACTGGTCCTTTGCTGGTTTATGCTGGTTTATGCTGGTCATGTGCTGGTTTAAACTGGTCCTTTGCTGGTTTATGCTGGTTTATGCTGGTCATGTGCTGGTTTAAACTGGTCCTTTGCTGGTTTATGCTGGTTTATGCTGGTCATGTGCTGGTTTAAACTGGTCCTTTGCTGGTTTATGCTGGTTTATGCTGGTCATGTGCTGGTTTAAACTGGTCCTTTGCTGGTTTATGCTGGTTTATGCTGGTCATGTGCTGGCAAAGGACCAGCATAAACCAGCAAAGGATCAGCTTAAACCAGCAAAGGACCAGCTTAAACCAGCATCCCAGCGTCAAAACATACCTAACCAGCATATGCTGGTTTTTTCAACAGGGAATGTAGAAAAAAAAAAGAACATCATGACACAAGACAACGCAGGATTAGCTACTTTAGGGTTAAAGGCGATTTAGGTTAACCCATGTTCAGGGTGTTCTCAATAAACTCGGTTCAGTTCAGAGAAGTTGTACTGACTACCTCTCAAAACAGAGAGATCTCTGAAGAACTAAACAGATCATTTTGGGATCTGGGCTGCTGATGTTGATGATGACCAAAATAGGTAGGCCTACTGGTGTAAAAGGTTGTGACAACAACAACAACAACAACAACAATAACAATAGTTATAATACTAATATTAATACTAATAATCCATGAGAAGCGATTATTTAGATTTTATGCCTGACCAACTTTATGATATCAGTATCAGAATTAACTGATTCTTCAGCAGTCATCTAATAATTATATAGGAGGTTTGCAAACACCTATTTACGGTCATTTCACTAAAAAGAGAATCGAGCTGGCCTTACCATGTGCTTTATTTCCAAAGCTTCATGTCATGTGAGTTGAGCTGAAGAGAGCGGCAGACTGCTGCAGTTTCCTGAAGCGCAGATGAGCGACCACTCAAACCTGTTACAGCAGGAAGTACTCTAGAGATGAATGAAGGCAAATCCATTGGCAACTCCGCATTTACATACAGAGTTATAGGAGGAGGCTGTGAGAGATGCATTAAAATAAACCACGTCTTTGCACATCTACAAATACAGGCGTGAGAAATGTTGCATTGCAACTGATGTTGCAACGTAGAGTTTAGTTTATTGATGACTTGAGTAATGGCTTCATTTAATATACATATTTCAATGTAATTTATGGAAACATCTTACATTTTGAATATTGCCTTTATAGCAGGGGTGCCCAAACTCGGTCCTGGAGGGCCGGTGTCCTGCAGAGTTTAGCTCCAACTTGCCTCAACACACCTGCTGGTAAGTTTCTAGTATGCCTATAAGAGCTTGATTAGCTGGTTCAGGTGTGTTTAATTGGGGTTGGAGCTAAACTCTGCAGGACACCGGCCCTCAAAGAGCGAGTTTGGGCACCCCTGCTTTATAGTCTGTGTGAGGTTGACAGTGCCGTTCTCTCGCATCTAAACTGTGATGGAGAGGCAGACGGAGCTTTGCCTCCCTCTGTCAGTCAGAAAGGACAATAACCAATTTTGTGTGGCTCTTTTTTTATCTGCTGAATGGTTTTCTGAAAGATGAATGTCCATTAAGGATGAAGTTTGGTGAAAAAAAATGTATCTATCACTCTTATATCCAAATTCACAGAATTATAGGCAAGAAGGATTTAGTTTATATCCTGAGACACAAGCAAAAATGTGGCCAACTGTAAAAAAATAAAAAATAAAATACTTAGTAGGGTGTTGGATCCCTATTAAAATTGAGAAATATGTAAGTAATTAAATATCCTTAGGCTAATTCCTTTATATTAAAAAGTCACTGTGTAAACAAGCTTGAACCCTTTTCCCATTTTTTTTTAAACGTTCACTTTTACACATGCACTATAGAACTACATTTGAGAATTCTAACCTAGAACTAAGAATAATTATTTGTATGAGGGTTTAAACTGTGCTACTCATAAAAACAAAAGGGTCAATGTTATTTTCTTGTTGTTTGAATATTCTCCCTACAGTGAGGTTCACACGGTTCTGCTTAGAAACAAAAGACATTTTTAGATCCTAAATTTGACTTTGCAGACCTAAACAAATAGTACAGCAAGACTTTATCAATGAATCTTCTTTATTTTCACATTTAAAAATAAGTCATCTTGTAACCGGAATGAGCTTGCTATACCTTTAAGGGGTAGGTGACGCGATAGGACAGGTGATGTTTAAAGTCTCGCAGGCTTCAATGAAATGGCGTTTGTTCTCGTTCTCCGCTCGATGAACGAGTGTGTGTGTGGTTTGCTCTCCTGTATTGGCGCGTTGGAAGAACTGCTCGTGTGTGTGATTGCTGCTCTCGACAATTTAGCGTGAGTAAATATGCTTTTATGCATAGGAGTTGAATTTAATGATGTTAGTATAATATGCCCGCTAATGTGTTTTAGGATTATTTCCGTGCTGATGACCTGTTGATCCGAAAACGCGGTGTGCGTGCAACTCCGCGGGGTTTCAGCTACCTAATGTGAGTGCATGGCCAAGTTCATTGATAAGTGAAATTGATATGAAATGCGGTGCCATAAATTTAGGATGTGTTATTTTAGGTTCGCTCTTGTGTTCATACTCGGCTGAGTTGCGAGTGTCCATTTGTACAGAATATACTGCATTGCAACCCACTTCTGCCTTTAGTGAGACTGTTACGTCCAGTCATCAAAGTGAGTCATAGCGCAATGTTGGAAGGTACGTGAGTATTTTGTTTGTTTTATGGTGAAATATGGGGGTTTTACGTGCAATAAAAATGTCAATTGGTTTTAATTACAGGTTTTAAATCCTCTCTCGGATTTAGCGGCCACCGTTTCTTTCCCACTAAAATTTGAGATTTATTTATTAGTTGTAGTGTTTGCTTTATATTTAGTTTATTGGGTTTTCATGGTATTATAACTTTTGTGATCTTATGATATTCATTTTGTTGTGAATTTTGTTTTATTGATTGGTGTACCACGGTATGGGAGGTCTTATTTTTGGTTTGTGTGATTTTGTGTGTTTCAGGTATGATTTGAGTGGTTTTGAATAATTTTGGGTTTCTGTTTCCTCCCATGTGGTGTGTTATCCAGTCTATGATTCAGGGTTGATTTGCCTTATCTTGGGTATCATATTCATCATTGGTTTTATACAATGTAATTTAATAGTTTAATTTAAGTTGGTTTACTTTATTTCAGTTTTGTATTTATATCCTTTTTTTGGAACAATTCTGTCAACCCGGTTATTATTTTAATAACATTATCTATGGAAAAGGATTATATCTGTCATTCTAATAAAGTATTAACCTTTTGTACTCTGGCTTCTAGTTCATTTATTTGAACTACCTGTGTTAAAGATATCATTGTTAGGGTCCCTTACCCTAGAAAGTGGGGGTGGCGTAGTAAATTTGGCCGACGTTCCTAACAGCCATATATTTGAGGTCACAATCTTATAACCTTTAAGTTGACCAGAAAAAAAAATATCACATTAACATTAACCGTACCAAGGCATCTTAAAAACGAAATAATATATAAACACCGGCTGAAAGTAAAACTATCTCAACACAGAAAGTGTGACAATGCATTTCCACACCATAGAAAAACAAACGGAAAAAAACCCCAATTAACAGGATTTAACATGACTGTCAGATTACAGAGACACAAGTCAATCTCCCAGGGGGGAAGGTCTAAGAGCTTGAAGATGCTGAAACAGGAAAGAAAAAAAACATTAAGTACTACAGTAGTGCATGATATTCTGAATGGAAAGGTAAAATCGCTGAAATATTGGTACTGTTGAGCTGAGTTCAGGGGTTTAGGCTCAGTTTACAATTATTTACGGTGTAATAAAACAACACAAAAATCAAAACGTTATGCTTTCCAAGGCTTTCTTGAATCCCTTAAAATCTCATTTTGAGAAATTGGGATTCCAGTGCTTACACACAACATCTTGTTAATGAATATGCTGCATCAGCCCAATGTTTCTTGTACAGATTACAACCAGTCACCTAAAAGCAGTAAGAATTGGGGATAAGAGAAGAAATCTGCACGGAGAAGCGAATTTGCACACTAGTGATGTCACAAAGTAAGAGCAATAGGCTTCATCCAATGAAAAACAGGCTGAAAGAAGAGAGCACACCCACAGCCTCGCTTTTTGGCTGCTCAAGTTACAATATCAGTTAAAGGGATACTCCACCCCAAAATGAAAATGTTGTCATTAATCACTTACCCCCATGTCGTTCCAAACCCGTAAAAGCTTCGTTCGTCTTTGGAACACAATTTAAGATATTTTGGTAAAGTAAATTACGCTGTCAAGGTCCAGAAAAGTATGAAAGACATCG